GGGGCTGGAGAAGGAGATTGCGATTCGCATCCATATGTGCAGTAAAGCGTTGGGGTCGACTGGAGGTCAGTGAGCCGCATGAGACGAGACTGGGCTAAGTTCAGTACAGGTGTGATCCTCTGCAACAAGACGATTCGAGATCGGCTGATCAGCAATGCCCGGTTTGCCATCTACAGCGGCGCACCGTCGTTCCCCATGGTGGCGTCCATGCGCGCTGGGTACCGCTTGCTGGAGAATAACGAGGCCGAAGAGGTATCTCCTCCCTTCCTGGATGAGACAATCTCTAGCTCACAAGCTCCAGCCAATGCAAAGAATCCAGAGCAGTGTCCGGCACTTTCTAAAAACCATCACCGCCCATCCGGTATGGGATGAAGCCGTGGACCAGGGCATCCTCAACATTCCCCTCGCCGAGGACTACGAGAGCATCGAGCACCTCACTCACATTGTGCCGGTACTGACTCGTCCAAAACACGAGCTGTACCTCTTCTTCCATCTGATGATCAACAATATCAACGCCTATAACGTGTCCTTCCCGGTAGTACCCAAAGGGAAAAGTCGGGTGCGCCTGGTCTTCCACGCCCATAATGATCTGGATCAAGCGGAGACGTTGGCAAATGCCATTTGCGAGTGGGCTCAGGAAATGTTGGTGATTGAGGACGGCCAGACGGACAACGTCTTGCCAAGTGCGGCACGCCGGGTGTATGCCATGAATACTTGAGACGTAGCTAGTCAAGAGGCTTTGTTTGCAAAATAGCGTCCCCAGTTGGACAGGAGTAAAATTGTATTCAGCATGGTAGGCCAATACCTACTGGTTGCCTCCGAGTTTGTTAGCATAAGACCTACGCTTACTGTAACACAGTAAGCTAGATGACTGAGGGCAGCCATTCACCATAAACCCGCTGGGTCTGGTCTTTCTAATACAGTGTCGATCCTTTCGATGACAGACCTAGGCTGAGGGGGCACCGTGCAGGGCTAGGCTTTTGTAGACATAAATTTTTCCAATTCCTATGCTTTCACGAAACGCTCCATCCGGAGCTCAGAAAAAATGCGATCAACTTTGCGCATTGCCATACTCATGTGCGATGAGCTGGTCGGAAACCCCAAGAAGGAACACGGAAGCATCGGCAACTTCTATAGAAAGTTCCTGGAGACCGGAGCGCAGAAGCTCGAGGAAAGTGGTCTCCACAAGAAACCCAATATTAAATATTTCTTCTACGACGTAGTAATCAAGCAAGAATACCCAAACATCAGGGAAATCGACGCGGTATTCATGACAGGTAGCCGTGAGTGACACCGACCCGGAGAATCAACCCTCTATCTTGCCCACTTTCTGCTCAGAGACTGCAGCTAATATCTCTTTTCTTTTGTTAAGGCCATGATTCTTTCACATCAGGCTCAAACAACTGGATCTTGAAGCTCGTTGACTTCACCAAATCGCTGCTGCACGAGCAATCGCGGGTCCGAATCATGGCTGTCTGTTTCGGGCACCAGATTGTCGGACGCGCATATGGAGAAACGGCTGAACGGAATCCTTTGGGCTGGGAAGTCTCTGTTACTCCTATCACACTATCAGAGACAGGTAAGAGAGTCTTTGGCTGCGATTCACTGGTATGTTTGTTCACTCTGTGACCGACGTGTTGGACAGTGTTAATGAGGATCAAATGGCTGGCAGGCGCTTCATCAGATGCATCGCGACGTCGTCCGGCGGTATCCAGCATCTGTCGAGAAGCTAGGCCATTCCGACCGGTGCGAGGTGCAGGGGATCTACGTCACGAACCGGGTCATGACTCTGCAGGGACATCCGGAGTACGATGCCACGATTGCCTGCGAGTTGCTGGAGCGGAGGCGCGGATCTGTGCTAGATGAAGCCACATACCGAGATGGGATGGATCGAGTTCATCATCCGCATGATGGGGTGCTTGTTGGGGCTGCCTTTTTGTGGTTTCTGATAAAAGATTGAAGGATGAAGCAGGAATGTGGGTGTTGACATTTGTGTGGCGATGAAGCGGTGGTATTATGGTATTTGGGGGTTTCGGCTTACGGTAAACTATACCGCTCCGGTACAGTTAGTCATCATACCTTACCAGGTACCACCAGAAATATATATCTCTGCAAGGCCAGACATCCTCTCTTGTTATTTTTCTCAAGTCACGTTCAAGGTGTTCTTCTAGGCTTCACTGGGTATCTGTATATGATGCAATTCTTTCCAACATGTCTAGACCTGAACCAGACACTGCGACTGCATTAATCGCGACCGATCGCACTCCCCTCCTGCCAGCCATAGCAGAGGACATTCCTCCACCATCTTCCATCGCCAATGGCCACGGTCATTTAAGGAAAGTCGCAGACAATTTTCCATTCACCGTCTGGGTCATTGCGATCATTGAGTTCTGCGAGCGATTCGCCTATTTTGGGGTCCTGGGACCCATGCAGAATTACATCCAGAACCCTCGAGATGACCCTATCCGCTCTGGTGGAATCGGTTTGTCATGCTTACCCAGCTAGTGCGACATAATCTGACGCGAATACCCAGGACTCGGACAGGCTCATGCTACTTTGGTCAACCAAAGCTTCATGATCTGGTGTTTCCTGACGCCTGTAGTGGGTGCGGTTGTCGCCGAGCAGTATCTCGGCCGGGTGAAAACCATCCTGTACTCTGCTGCTATCTACAGCGGCGGATTGGCGATTTTGGTCCTATCATCTCTACCTGCCGTTCAAGAAACGGTCATTTCATTGCCAGGATTGCTTCTGTCTCTATTTCTGATAGGCGTCGGCACTGGTGGAATCAAGGCGAATGTTAGCCCGTTGCTTGCTGAGCAGTACACGTCTCCTGGTCAAGTTATCCGTCTGCTCAAATCGGGTGAAACAGTCATCATTGATAGAGACTTGACGGTTCAAAGGTCTGTCTCTAGACTTTCTTCTTATGCAAATTCTGACGTTTGTCAGGATGTTTGCAACTTATTTTCTCTTTATCAACGCCGGCTGTCTTGCTGCTCTGGCTTCAGTCGAAATCGAACATTCCTATGGGTTCTCGGCAGCATTCGCCATCCCGATGACCGTCTTCATCATTGGCTTCATAGCTCTCATTCACAGCAAAGACCGGTATAACAGTAGTGCGCCGGATGGATCCATTATACCGAACGTCCTCCAAGCTCTCTGGATCACAATCAAACATAAAGGTAACCTCAACTGCGCCCGACCTGCCCTAGAACCAGTCGAAAGCCCATACCAAGAATATCCCTGGACCAACTCCTTCATCGACGACCTCCAAACAGCCCTCAGCGCAAGCAAAGTCTTCCTGTTCTACCCGTTCTACTGGGCCGCCTTCTCCCAGCTCTTAACGAACTTCATTTCCCAAGCCGCGACAATGCAAACCCACGGCATCCCCAACGACATCCTCCCCTACATGAACCCCATCACAACACTCTTCCTACTCCCCTTACTCGACCGCCTCATCTTTCCTACGGTCCGCAACCTCGGATACCCCGTCCACCATTTCCCCCGCATCACAGCGGGGTTCATGGTCTGCGCACTAGCCATGCTCTACGCCGCTTTCGTCCAGCGGACCATCTACGTCTCCCCGCCATGTTACGACCATCCACGGTCGCCCACCTGCATGCACGGACAGGTCCCCAACGACGTCTCCGTGCTCCTGCAGGTCCCCGCGTATATCCTCGTCGCTTCATCAGAGTGTCTTGCGTCGGTGGCAGGCCTGGAATACGCGTATGCCAACGCGCCCAAGTCAATGAGGTCGCTGATCATGGCGCTGTATTTGTCCACCGTTTCGGTGGGGACCTTCCTTGCTATGGCCGTCATGCCGCTGACCGTTGATCCTAAGATAACGTGGATGTACATTGTTCTTGCAATGGCGGTTTTCGGTGCCGGGGCAGCGCTCTGGAGTGTGCCGGTTCAGCGGAAGGAGGCTGGCTAGCTAGCTAAGCCAGCTGGTGGAGGGGAGAAGAAGCCCATACATCCCAGACAAAGTAACTTGAGACGTGATTCCGTTTGTCTGAGCGTCTTTTTTTTTTTTTCTTTTTTGATCCAGAGATAGATAGATAGATAGAAGCTTTCAGGATTATATTCTAAGAAGTCAAAACATGTAGCCATTATGGTGGACAGGGCCGTTTTGTTTCCAGGGTCAGAAGTTATACGGAAAGGTATATTGGTCATATATTCGGCGAGAGTAGATGTTTCTCAATTCAGACCGTCTGCTCTACCTTTATGAAAAGAACATGCATGATGTTGAGCCACTACCTTTGCAGTGGGTAGTCTAGTTAGTAACATTCGTCTACCGGTAAGGCTCCTTAATGGTATCTTCTAATTTCTATCCCGTTGGAAAGCTCGTCGTGGAGACCGGGGACTGGAGACTTCCGCCGACCCTGTCATTGCCCCAACATGAGATGCTTCAGTCTATTGCTTTCCCGTTATTGACTCTGATCCCTAGGTCAAGGTAACCAGCACAGTAAGTAGTAACCCGAAAGCCAGCCAAGGAGGAGGCCGTGGGCCGCGATAGGTGTTTGCCGGCGTGAGCTTTGCAAGCAGCCTTGTTATTTGGTGAGATCTTGACTACGGAGAGAGGAACAAGGAATGGTCAGCACAGCAGAGAGAAGGACGTGGTGATGGCATCTTGGCTGCGTGGATTTCGATGAGCTGATTCATTGCTCCGGGCACGTAAACGGTCATCTAAAACATAGAGTATCACTATTAGGAAACCAGATACAAGGATATAATTGGATTCGCATGTTCTCGGTTCTTGCTTCACTCGAGAAACGGGGTATGTCTGTATCATGGAAGATTTTATTGCACGCGGGCAGCACGAGGTCCATTCGGGTCAGAACCAAATGCCAAGCGTGTTGTGTCCCCTTCTCCTAGTGAAATTGTCATGTCTCTGAGCGACAGAGAGCACTGCCTGGGGTAGAAATATTCCACTCATTGCTAGGCATTCCGAACGACGGGTATGAACAACTGGGCGTTGTAAAGTTCGGCAATGATTGCGAGTTCTACATCATTGTCCACTCGCTGGCCATGCTTCCAATATCAAAATCGATTGCCCAAGACATTAGATCGAGATTCTCGTAGTCATCCAGATTAAAAGTACCAATTTCTCTATCCCCATCTCCAGCACTGTCTCCACCAGTGAGGGAAGCGTCAAGATCAGTGGTCGGAGTTGGCATCGAGTCTATTACGTCAACCCTTGTCGCAACATGAGCAATTGTCCGAGCCTGAAACTTTGACGTTGCAAGCTTGTCCAAAATCCTGTCCAATTTCTCCGTGATGGCCTTTGCCGCCTGCAAGCAGAAGGCTTGATTTCTTTCCCGCGAACTGGCCACTCTTTCGAGTTGCGACGTAAGGACGGCAACATTGCGAATGACGGATGATGTTTTTATGCCAGGCGTAAGGATACTTGACGGATCTTGCGTATTGTTCTCTAGTGTAGTTAGGAGGACTGCCGCAGACGGCAAGCCGCAGGCCAGAAGCTTCACCCTGTCAGCTATGACAAACAGATGGTCGGTACAGGGGTAGAGCAGCACGTACGATTTCAGGTAGATCATGCGAAGTAAAGGCGCCCTTTCTGCGGGTTTTTCCCATCTGAACCACTGTCTCCAGAATGTTTGTCGATACGTCCAGCAGCTCGGGAAGCGGAGTCGAGCTATTCTCCCCAAGAAGGTGGTATATCTGGAAATGAATTTGGAGATAGGCTAGATGAACCTTTGCGTGCATGTAACAAGTGCTCAAGGGCATGTCGGATTCCCAACAGTCCTGAGTATATCTTAAATGTGGAGGCAGGTTATCCCACGTCTGACGACATCGAGAAGACAATTCTCTGAAACAACATTAGTGCTGTTCAACCCCTGTCCGAATGATTGTACACACCTCAGCTGGGCAGGGTCAGCGGCCTGTGATGCTTGAAAATGATATTCCACAATTCCCTCCCGAAACTGACTCAGAATATAGCGCAATCGAGCCCAGGTTGCTGCTCTAAGCTTCCCATCTGTGTTCCAGCCATCTTCGGTGAGTCGACCTTTTGCATCCTCTAGTTCCTGGGGAGTTTGGGCAAAAAGTTCGTCATCTGACAAATCAAGGGGGAGCTTGACGTCCACATATCGAGAGGTAATGCGAGGAGGAAGATTGAATATCAGGCCAAACATTTTCTCCAGGTAATATTCAGTCACAAAGCACCTTCTCCGGCACTCTGCAAGAAAAAACGGGGTTCTCTCAGGGGAATATGTCGCTTCCCTGTTCAAGCCCAGAGCTAATAAATCGGTCGAGAGATCGCCCACCAGACGCCACACGCCGAGGCCTGCGATCAATCAGTGTCCACCCATTCACGATATGTATAAAAGTGGCTCACTCGTATCTCCTTCAAGGTATGACCTGAGCTGTCCATTCTCATTCGCCAACCATATAATGACGTCGTTTGACTGGGGTGCAAGGTCTCGAGCTAGTCGTAAGATTACCGTGCTATACCAGACCATGTCTGGGACAAATGCGGCATCCTCACCCTCATCGCAGTCAATGAAAAAAGCCGAAGCACGGGCAGCCATAGTGTACAAAAGACCGAGAGTCTCGACTCGAAGATTCGGACCAGAGAACAAGGCTAAGAAACCATGCAGGTCCAAGGATGCGGTGATGATAACCTCTGTAGAGGAAGAAAGCATTATAGATTCTGATAACCGCGAAATATCGCCCAACTCAACTCGATCTCCCGTTTCTTCAAGGATATAGCCCGACGATACTAGATCTGTACGGAGCGCATTGAGAAGGTGCAGAACGACTGGTTTCGGTACAAGTGAGTTATGCTTAGCGGAGTAGTACTGATGGAGGCACTTTTCAATGACAGGAAGGTATCTTAACTGAGACACAATCTCCTTCATGGTCGCTAGGTGGGCCTCATAGGCCTTTCTGTCATGCGAGCCCGGCAAGGGAGTGTCTGGCAGGTTCCCCCTGTCAGAGACGGTCGACATAAAAGGCCATGTGTGGAATTTGGGCGGTCCAGCCGCAGAGCGTCCGGGATATATTGCACTGGACCTGCTCCATGATGGTGCAGCAATGGTTGGTTGGGATGGCGTAGGCACGGCCAGTCTTTGTGCACTTGCACTTCGAATTTTAGTCAGAGGGGCAGGATGGTAGTAGCACCGAGAATCGAAGCCACGACGCCGGCAGGAGGCACAGACTGGTTTGCCGTGATCGCATCGAGTTTTCCTCTCTCGGCAAGGTTCACATGAGGCGAGGGTTCGATTGCGCCTGGTTGTGGGTGCTGACATGCTCAATCACCTGTCTGGAATGAACTCAGTGCTCCTTCGTTCGCTTTCCAGGTCCACTGGGTACGATTCGGTATTATGCGGACTCAGTATCCCGGTTCTTGTCTCTTTTCCTGGTTTCTTGGAGAGATTGCGTCATGAGGAACACTTGCCCAGCTGCAGGTGAGTATACGGTCTCACTATCAGAGGCTCATCAGCTGACTCTTTTCCGATACAAGACCGGTACTAAGCTATGTATCGGACTATATCTCGGAGCTGTATGGCCAGGCGTATCGGACCTGTACCGGTATTGTCAACCTGTTATTAACAATACCGGACCTGTAGCAACACCCCTGCAATTTCGGGATTCCTCCACAAGATCCCAAGAAGCCGAGTTAGGTAGATGAGCTTATAGAAGCTATTTCATCGCCCAGAAAAGGAAGCAAAGTAAGCCATACTTTGCTGGAGAAATAAAACACATTAACATTCACGAATACCAAGATTAACAGTGAAATTAAAGTCATCACTATCATCCGGGGAATATTGAATGCCGTGCCCGCAGTCTCCGACCTTCAAGATACCGCAGTGCACTAGCTAGTATCCCCCAACAGAGCGGGACAGTGGGGAGCAGCGCCATTCTCCAAAAACCAGATCGCGCCGACCAGTTCCTGGAATTTGCAACTACTGGCCATGGTCTTTGGCTTGTTGTTAAGGGTACGGACACCGTGCCCGGTGAAGCTCCGATGGACATCGTGGGGGCACTTGCACTTGGAGATACGTCGTCCTATGTGTCCCCTCTATCTGAGCCGGAGCTTCACGTGTGATTGCTAATTACGGATCGAAAATACGCTGGCAACAATAGTGGCAGACGCCTCTTGGACCATGCCCGTGATCTTCCCTGCAAGGCTGGAGTCTCATTGCTGCGCGTAGATTGCTATGCAGGTGGCGACGGCAAGTTGGTCCGATACTATGGGTTCCAAGGGTCTGAAAAAATTCCAATTTACCAAGTGCTTACTTAACGGTCAGATGAGATGAATAAAGAAGAGAGATGATATTTATCCTCTTCGTGGAAATGACACCATCCTTGCTGTACTTGTTTCGCTTTCCAGCGGTAGTGTGACTATTAGTAAACGCCGCCACGCCTCAGCCTGAAGTCGTTCTAGTGCTCCCACAGCCCCAGCAAACCATCGGCAGCCTGCTTGCCTAGCCTTTCAAGCGTTCCCATGCTCAGCATTTCTAGCACACTGATATCTAGCCCAAACATCTGCTTCCACCAGGCCTGCATTTCTACCGCCACCATCGAGTCCAGGCCGAGTTGCGCAAGCGGCAGAGATACATCAATCTCATCATCCGGAGACCGCAGCACCAAGCCCAGGAGCTTCTTGCCAATCTCCTGCGCTAACAAGGTAACTGACTGGGGTGTGTTAAGTGTTTCTGGGCTGGCCTTGGCCGCGCTCAGGAATTGTCGCAAACCGTCGCTGGAGGAAGTCGCATTGCCTTGGCTGCGGATGTTGCGAAAGACCGACATACGAACGTCTTTGCGTAACCTGGCGCTGCTGTCAGGACTGCTGAGAGGGATTACTGGTGCAATGCCCACGAGAGTAGTGTTTGGGTCGACCAGGCTCGGCTTTGGCGGTTCATCCTCTGTGACCTTGGTTGTTGCCGAGAGCATTGCGGTCCCCAACACCTCCAGTAACTCTGATTCCTGCACGGGCCGCCAGCCTGTCCCTTTCATCTTGTTTAGCAGTTCATTTTGCTCGACCAGGTAGCCCGATCCCTCCACGGCACCAATGTTCAGCGACGTACAAGGGAGCCCCTTGCTTGTCCGGAACTTCACAAATGCGTCGAGAAAAGTGTTTGCACTGGCATAACTAGCCTGTCCATGCTGACCCACAATTCCGGAGAGTGAGCTAAATAGGATGAAAAAGTCGAGATTCTCCAACTGCGTCTCGTTATGTAGATTCCATGTTCCTTTCACCTTGGGCGCCGTCGTTTCGTTCCAGTCGTCGATCGTCATCTTCTGCCAGGCTTGGTCATGAAGCACCATTGTCATCTGGAGTACCCCTTTGAGGGGCCGAGGGGACTCTGCAACTGCCCGCGCTACGTCTGCCGCGTTAGTGACACTTCCGCGTACGAGATGCACCTCACAGCCCATGCTCTGGATCTCAGTCACGAAGAGCTTGTGTCTGTCGGTTGTCCCGGCGCTGCGTGAGAGGAAGGTAAGGTGTCTCGCTCCGTGTTGGACCATCCACACCGCTACAGACCGCCCCAAGCCTCCAGTTCCACCCACGAGCAGATATGAAGCCGAGCTGTCAAGCACGGCCGTAGCAGACATTTTGACAGCCTGAATCTGTCCAAGCTGGAGTTCCGCCGATGCCGGGTCGCGGAATTGAAGCACAATCTTCCCAATGTGGCTGCCCTGCTGCATGTGCTGCAACGATTCTTGGATTTGGGAGCAAGGGAAAACCTTTTCGATCGGGATGGCTCGAATATAGCCACCGCGAAAGAAGTCCATCATGGAGCGGAGGAGTCTTGCTGTCATGTTAGCCATGGACCTCATGTCCGTAACGGCCGGCACTCACGGGCTGATCATCTCGGGTCGCTCCTTGCACATCTGGTCAATGTCTACACAACGGTAGCTACGATTGGCAAGGAACAATTCCATATCAAGCTTGCCTCCGCCGAGAAGGTCACGCTTGCCAATCTCTACCAAAGTCCCCCATTTCGCAACGCAGCGCCAAGTTGCATGGAGCAACTCACCCGAGAGTGAGTTGAGCGCCAGATCAATACCTCTACCGTTAGTTTGTCTTAGTAGATCTTCTTGAAAGCTCACCCCCCGCGAGTTGAATATGTGATCTCTCGAGATGCCAAGTTCCTGTACAAGGAAGTCAATCTTTCTCTCACAGCTGACCGTTGTGAAGATTTCGGCGCCAATCATCCGAGCTACTTGGATTGCAGCTAGGCCCACGCCACCACATCCGCTATGGATGAGAACAGACTGACAGCAGAATCAGAACTACTACTTTGCTCAGACAGGATTCTGACGTACCTGGCCTCGCCGGAGTCCCCCGACGTTGATGAGCGAGTAAATGGCCGTAGCAAAGACCAGCGGCATGGAAGCTCCGTTGATGAAGTCGAGTTCATCAGGGAGCCTTTCGCAGAGTTTCTCGGTGGTCGTGACAGTCGACGCAAAGACATCAAACCCTACGAGGGCTACTCTGTCCCCAACGCTGAGCTTTCCTGCCTTCGGTCCAACGCGACGCACGATCCCCGTGGCCTCGTAGCCAAAGGTAGGCGGGGTGATGTCGATGATACCCATCGCCACCAGAACATCCTGCCGGCGTTGTCAGTATTTCTGATACTTTAATATGATAGGAAGTGAGTTATTTACGCGGAAGTTGAGGCCGGCGGCGTGGATCTCGACTTGAACCTCATCGTCCTGGAGTGCTTCCCCCGCCACAGTCGCACCTTCCCAATGCAGCGTGTCAAGCCGCCCCGGCTGACTAATCGTCAGCCGCGCCTCACTGGTCACCTGACCAACGTCCCCGCCGCTTGCGGAGGAGACGGGGAAGAATCGATGCACTCGCGTCACCCCATTCTCAATAATGTATTCGAAATCGGGCTCAATTTCTCCATCGTTAACTCTTTCAGAGAAACTTTGAAACACGCTGGCAACAGTTTGGCACCCTCGTGGGCTATCCATGTCATCTGCCTCACAAGTTGCAAAAGCAATGCTCAGCTCGGAGCGGATACACCGAGCCAGACCGTGTATTTGCGCGAAGTGTGGGTCTGCACATTGACTCCGGGATGGCTGCGTGACCCATAAAATCCCAGAGTTAGCGATATTGTTGATGAAAGCTCTTAGCTGCTCAAGTTTGGTGGCATCCAGCTGCTCCAGGAACGATGTCTGCCCATCAAGGAAAGCGATTATGTCTTGCCCCGGTGGGGGAATATCTGCAAGGCTGCAATAAGAAATCTCATACCCTCGTGCGAGTAATTCGTCAATAACGGGATGGGATTTGGAAGAAACAGTTGACGATTCGAAAAGAACAGTGGCTTTCCTCGCCGGGAGGTGGTCACGTCGGGGTCTCCCTACAATAACATGACAGATGTGTCTTGGCCCGTCGGAATCGAGACCAAGCTCGCCAGTGATCTCGAGGCCTGCCGTGGCTAACTTGGCTTGCCAGGTTTCCAGATTGACGTACGGCTCGGTAGATCGGCCGTCATCGACCCCATTGTCCCAGCTCGGAAGAAGCCCAAGGACATACTTGGACCACGTGAGACCGGGCCGTAAGGACTGCAGCAGAAGCCGTCCTGATAGGGTGAGAAGCTGACGAACTTGTGTGAGGGACTCTGAAAGCTTGTGAGTACTGTGCAGCACTCCTGCCGCAATGATAAGATCGAAGTCCCTCTCATCGAAGCCCTGGGATTCGGCTTGAGTTCCAATGTCAAATACGTGAAAACTCATATTGGGGAAGCCTTGGAAGCGCGCCTTGAGGACTTCAACCATGCCTGGAGATGGATCGGAGACAGCGTATTGCGAGAAAAGCACCTGGCCGTCAGGCCGTGTCAGTGTCTCAACAATGCCAGCTGTGGCCGAGCCAACGCCTGCGCCCAACTCTAGAACCCGGAGGTTAGGCTTCTGGAGGCCAAGGCGATTGAAGAATGCAGATCCTTCAACTTCATTGACGAAGCGAAGGAATTTCCCAAGCGTGTTTTCTGTATCCAAAACTTCAAAGGCCTTTTTACGACCAGAAAGGATAGCAGGTGCATTGTCTGTGACTAGGGTGATCGCTTTGGCAATGTGCGCAACGGGTGTTGACTCCAGTGATCTTGCGAGGGCTTCAATGCGAGTGTTCAATGTAGCATCATACAGTTCTTCTGAATAACAAGGGACCTCGTCGAGCCATATCTTGTATCGTCGAAGTTCTGGAATGACATCTAGACCGGTCGTCGATCTTCGAGATGCATCAATCGAGTAACTGACAAGCTCATCCAACCTTGCCGCGTGATCTTGGTCTATTCGCGTCGGCTTCACAAGAGTACCGAGAGCTGCAGTCTCAAAATGTGGCACCCACTCACTTCGGGCGGTGATAGGCGCGTGTTCCTCTTTGATACCATTTGTAAAAGATGTCAGACGAACTTTCGAGAGCTCGATGATGGTCTCACCACTAGCTGAAACCGTGCCTGTTCCACAAACCGCGCTACCGGTCGGCACAGCTGTCGCTGACACCAAAAGGTTGTTGACAGAGCAGCGGCGGAGAATCAACGAGCCCACACTTGCGGGAATGACTTGATGGTAGTCATACGTAAGTCCGTACCGAGCGGCTATACTGAGGAGTTGAAAGTAGGAATCTAGGATGACAGGATGAAGGTGGTAAAATTGCTCGTCTCCATGCCAATTATTGCGGACTCGTGCACGAGCCATTCGTGCGCCGGTTGTTGTCGTTGTGATATCTTCAAGACTTTCGAAATGGTAGCCATAGTCAAGGCCCTCGTTGCGCATGGTATCGTACCAACGCTTGCTGGAAGCTTTGCGCGGCAAGTTCTCCTGCTCGCCAGCCCGATTTCTCATGGCGACTGTTTGGTTCCGAGCCCGAATTTCGCCGGAGGAGTGTTTTATCCACGTCTGTCCATTATGTGATGAGATACTGAACTCCCACCATTCGCTATCCAGCGAATCTGTTAGACGGAGGCGATGGAAAGTTGTCACAATCTCTTTTGTTGTGCTCTCATTGAGGACTAAGGCGGTGCGTACAGCAATATTTCGAAACTCCACTGCTTCTTCGATCCCCGTGATTTGACGGATAGCTTCAGCCGCCATGGCTATGTATCCCGCGAAAGGGAATATAATATCCGTGTTAATTTTGTGGTCACGTATCCATGGAGCATTCTCGATATGCAGCAAATTTCGCCATACAGGCTCAAGGTCTGTGGTTTCAGGGACCTTTGCGCCTAACAGGTCATGGTGTGGGTATTTGCGCATGCGCCACTCATGGGCGACGCGTGACTCGCTCCAATGAGTGCGATGATGATCCCACGGGTAGGAGGGCAGATCTGAGAGGCTTTTTCCAGTGGGCATCAAAGCCTGAACATTGAAGGGTACATGCTGAGCAAAAAGTTGGCCAAGAGCCGACAGCCAACTTTCAGTGCTGTCAGTTCGTCGGGTCAAAGATGAAATGTATGCTGCGCTGCTGGAGCTGTGGGTTAGAATCTGGCGCATAGGCCCGGCCAAAGCTGCATGGGGACCAACTTCAAGGAACACCTGCTTAGAGGGGCCAACGTGCTGTTTGATAGCGGCCCTTACGGCTGACGTGAACAACACGGGGCGTTCCAAGTTGGTCTGCCAGTACTCAGGTCCGAATCTGTTCTTTGCGCCTGGGACCAAGTATTGACCTGAAACACTTGAGAAAAATGGAAGAGTGTGCACATTGCCCACGACGCCGGCGTCGGTCATACTCGCTTTGTATGAAGGCCCGATCTCAGCCATATGTGGCGAGTGATAAGCCTTGTCAACTTTGAGCACGGTTGTCAAGACCCTAGGGTCCGACTGCTTGATGTTCTTGATTATCTCTTCCAATGGACCTGCGTCTCCAGATATTGTTACACTGTTCGGCGCGTTGTCGCAGGCGAGCACTACGCCAGGCACGAGATGCTTTTTGGCAGCTTCCCAACTCATACCCAACGCTCCCATGGCGCCCTTGGAACCCTGTCGCGTTGTTGCTAGTCCACGCAGAAATGCCACGATAATAGCCTCACGGGCGCTGAGGCCACCAGCGGCGTATGCGGCGGCAATCTCACCGCTGGAGTGGCCAAGCACCGCGGCCGGGCGGATTCCAATCGAAGCATATGTGTCCACCAAGGCAATCTGTAGGGCTGTGCATAGAGGCTGAGAGTATTCGGCTACATCAACCCGACTCTTCCGTGCAGGTTTGCGGAGCTCTTCGTCAATCGTCCACGATGGAGCTAGCGGGCCTAGCTCCTGAAGAGCCTTGTCGAGAGATGCGATGGTGTTACGGAAGACAGGATTGCTTTTGGAGCGGAGGATCTCATAGCCCATGCGTGGCCATTGCGCGCCTTGCCCAGTGAAGACCATGACCAGAGATGTGTCCCGGAGTTGTGGGGCGTTGGTGGAGGGAGGGGGGGCTGGTGGCGTGATCTTGTCACTCGTACAGATGGCATATGTGCGATATGGCAGATGCTCTCGTTTGTTAGCCAGGGTGTATGCCACATCTGAAAGCAGGTCTGGAGATCTCTCAAGGAAAGCCTCATACTTTTCGCCCATGGCCTTGAGAGATGCCGCGGTATTTGCGGAGAACAGCAATAAATATGGTGTGTTTGAAGCTGCCCTTGTGGAATTTGGCAAGTCGATGAAGCTGGCTGCTGACTCGATGATGGCATGGGCATTGGAACCTCCAAGGCCAAAGCTATTGATGCTCACGCGCTCATCACGGTCTTCTGGCCATGGTATTGGCTCAGTAGGAATAACAAGATTTGCATTTTCAAAAGAAATTGCAGGGTTGCGTGGAAAGCATTTAATATTTGGGGGAATAATGCGGTTTTCCAAGGAAAGAACAGCCTTAAGAACACTGACGAGGCCCGCCGCACCCTCCGCGTGGCCGAGATTTGCCTTGACTGAGCCCATATGCACACCGGCTTTGCCGAAGCATGCAGATACAGCCGCCACTTCAATAGGATCCCCAGTTTTCGTCCCCGTGCCATGACACTCGAAGAAGCCTGTTCGGGTAATTTCTGTAATACCAGCATTCCGGTATGCTTGCCTGATTAGCGCTTCTTGTGCCCGAGAGCTGGGGTGTGAAACTGTCGGTGTATGACCGTTGTGGTTGGCTGCTGAGCCGGTCACGACTGCGCGGATAGGGTTACCGTCCCTGACCGCGTCCGCTAGGGGCTTAAGGTAGATTGCGACAATACCCTCACCGCGCGCGTAGCCGTTTGCGTTAGCTGAAAAGGTGTTGCATGAGCCATCGGGACTGAGAACGCCTTGCTCCGACTGGGCGGCGGTTAAAGCTGGGGCCATGATGATATTGGTGCCGCCAACGATGGCGGATGTGCAGTCGCCGCGCGCAATGGACATGCATGCCTCATTGACGCCGATGAGAGAAGCGGAACAAGCACTCCGTAGCGTCACACTGGGGCCATGCAGGTCGAGCTCGTGGGAGAGCCGATTCGAGACCATGAAGTCGTTCTGGCCCAGGACTTGGTAGATACCATGGGCCTGCGTGTCCCGCACCGAGATGTCGTACCAGTCCTGGCCATAGCAGCCGACGTACACGCCAACATTGGTACCCTTCCACCGCGTCTCGCCGGCGTCATCGATGGCCTCGCGGGCGACCTCGAGAAGCAAGCGCTGCTGGGGGTCCAAGGTCTCGACCTCGCGGCGCGGCATGGAGAAGAACGAGGTGTCCAGCGCGGCAAGATCGTTGGTCGAATCGAGAAAGTACCCCTGCTCAGCAATGACGGTGCCGGGCTTTTTGTGCGGTGAATGGAACGCGGAGATGTTGTAGCGCGAAGAGGGCACGGGGCCGCGAGCGTCGCGGCCAGCGTGGAGGAAGGACCACAGCTCCGAGGGGGAGTGGATGCCTCCCGGCAGTCGACATGCCATGCCGCAGATGGCAACAGGCTGAAAGGTTGGGGCTGGGCTTGAGGGTGAGGACGGGGGCTTTTGCTGATTGCCTGTCCCGTTGGTCGTTGATCTCGAGTCATTATGACCATTGGCATTGAGACCGTTGAGGCCGTTGTCCCCGTTCGTGGAAGTGTTTCTGTTTGTTCGGCCCAGATGATTTGTGGACCCATTGGCCCTGTTGGAGTCGCCGCTCATGATGGTCTAATTGTTTCCAACGAAATGGAAATGGGAGGGGCAGTGAGAGTGGATGATGCCGTCTGCCCTATTGATCTCTCTTGGTCATACGTCGTGCGTTTTCGATATCGGTATAATGCAGAGAGTGTCATGTGGTATCTATAGCGCAAGCAAAGATGGCTCCAGCTATCTCGGAGCAATGTCTATGGTTACAAGATCATACTCTACTCAGCTTTCCAGGCCTGGGCTTGCTGTACGAATAGGAGGATATTATACAATCCACCAGGTTACTATGCCTGCTTACTCTGTTGTGCTCTATATTCATTGACTCTGTACTTCAAGGTCGCCCATTGAATGGAAAATTACATTTTTCTGACATCCATATGGTCTGTGCAAACCAAGCAAGCGCTTACCCGTTATCCTCAAGCTAATATCAAACTAATCCTGAGTACCATCAGCTTGGTCCCTTAGTAAGATCTTTTGTCCGGGCAAGAGTAAGACGGCCTAGTGTAAGACCGACGGTTCCAATGATACACCCGTCATTACCGCTTTCCCGTGATATCCTATTACACGGTATTAGGTATCGTCTCGTATCGGAGTATTCGCGTAAGTAAGCCCGTCAGTCAGCCGCCAATGCAACGCTAAGCACCTGGTCCACACCCATATCCATCTTTTCAGCTGCCCGTCCTGGGGCCCAAGGACCAAGAACAGAAGAGAGGAGGACAATGGGAAGTCCGACGTCTGCCTGGCTCAGGCGTCTGCTCGGAGTAAAAGTAGGTGTAGGAGCTGAGAGGCGACGATGTGGCCCGGCGTGTGTTTAACTACTGTATCCGCCTTCCCCCGTCAGCTCTGATTCCATCTCAGCTTCGACCGACATCTACCAGCATTAACTGGACAATAGCGAAGGGAGCATGGAGAAAACCACGAGCCAGAGCCAGGGCCACGACCAGGATCCGGAGGCCAGAGTGACCCGGCAAGACGAGGCCGCGTCCGGGTCCCAGTCACCAACGCCGGCGCCGCAAAAAAAGCACTACTCCTTCTACCTGTCGATCTTGATGCTGGCGGTGATTGCCCTGATCGTGTCCTGGGATGTGACGGCCCTGTCGCTGGCTTTGCCGGTAGGTCTTTTGCCTCACATGGCCACGGCGCTTCTGTCAAACTAACCAATTCATCTCGCAGGTCATAGCCGACCAGCTGCACGGGACCAGCTTCCAGTCCTTCTGGGCCAATATCGCCTTCATTCTCGGCGTAGCCGTCACCCAGCCCGTCTACTCCAACATCTCCGATGTGGTGGGCCGCAAATACGTGCTCTACGCCTCCCTCATCCTCTTTGGGATCGGGTCGATCGTCTTCGCAACTGCAACAAACATGGACATTATCGTCGTCGGCCGGCTGATCGAGGGTCTGGGGTCAGGCGGGCTAGACGTCTTGCAAAGTATCATTCTCTGTGACATCACGACCATGAAGGAGCGCCCGTGGTGGCTGGGTGTCATGTCCATGGCAAATGCCGTGGGCGCTGTGACGGGCCCCTTCATCGGCGGCCAGTTCGCGCAGGAGGTTGGATGGCCCTGGCTGGGCTGGATTAATCTCATCACCGCGGGCGCTACGGGCGTTCTGGCCTTCTTCTTCCTCCATCTCACTCCGTTAGAAGGGAGCATCAATGAGAAGATCCGCAGACTCGACTGGCTCGGCTTCGCGCTGTTCATCGTCATCAGCACAATCATTGCCCTACCGCTCAGCTGGGCGGATACCCTCTACCCCTGGGGCTCATGGCAGACGCTCGTCCCGCTGCTCATCGGCCTCCTGCTGATCGTTCCCTTCGGGTTCGTCGAGAACAGAGCCGTAGCGCCCATGATTCCATACCAGATCTTCGATAACATCTCCATTATCACGGGGACCCTATCCGGTGCGTTCTACGGCGCCCTCCTAAATCCGGTCCTCCTCTACCTCCCACTCTTCTTCGAAGCTGTCTACCTGGAAACACCGATCCAAGCGGCCAAATCCATACTCCCGCTATGCTGCCTCATCGTGGCAATGAGCATCATCGTCTCCCTGCTCATCGACTGGAGACGCAAGTACCGCATCGCCCTCTGGACAGGCTGGTTCATCACCGCTATCTTTCTAGGCCTAAACTACATGGTTGACGCAGATTCTACCCGCGCACAAGCCTACGCTTTCCAGGCAATCCTGGGCGCCGGACTTGGCACGACTCTCGTGGCGACAATGATCACTGTCCTCGCGAGCGTGCGAAACGTCAACGACGAGGGCCTCGCAGCAGGAATGCTGGTAACAGCGCGGTTCGTGGGATCCCTTCTCGGCCTGGCGATCTGCTCGACGGTGTTTAATTCCATGTTCGAGCGCGGAATGTCGCCACTGACCAGGACCGGAACCGAGTTGCCCGAGTCCATTTCCGTGCTGCGCGATGCAAGTCAGGCGGTGGGGTTCATTCCGCGGATGAGGGAAATTCACGATGTGGATGCAGTGGTGATGCGGGTTGTGATAGATGCTTATGAGGATGCGTTCCATACTATCTGGGTGGTTTTGGCGGCGATTGCGGGGTTGGCAGCGGTACTATCGTTGATTACGAGGCAGAATTCGTTGGAGAAGGAAGATGTTGGGAGGCAGGGGTGGAAGGTGCCGGAGGGTTCGTAGGACTTGGAAGTGGTCTTGGACTGATCTGGTTTCGGTTTTGGTTTTAACTGAGTGGGTAGGGCTCTACTCTGAATTGAGATGTATATTAACTAGGGTAGCCCTGTACATAATCTCCAATAAATCAAAAAGCCTACTTCTACATATCTGCAGCCGTATACTAGTATACTATAACACACCAACACAAACGCACAAAGCATCCATAACCTCAGCAACCCCCTGGTACCCTACATACCTATCCACCTATCCCCGCAGTGCAATCCCCACCCCTCCGCTCCAAACACAAAAGGTAATAAGCAACCACATCCCTCACCTGCTCCTCAAACCCCCTAAACTCCATTCCCAGAACCTTCGCCGACTCCTGCGCATCAACCCTAAATACCGACGACGGCAGACTCCCCTTCCCCCGCAAGACTCGCCTCTCAACAGCCTCGGGGAACCACCGCGCCACAACCCCAAAACACTCATCCAACTGCGTCCCCATTTCCCTGCCTGAGCTCAGAATGTACAGCCTGTTTCCCGGGATGGATGGGTTCAGCGCGCGCACGTGCGCTTCCGCCACGTCGTCTAGGTGCACTGTAACCCCTGGTTCTGGCGCTGGCGCTGGCGCTGTCTGCGTCTGAATCTGAAGGGAGGATTCAAATCTAGATCCAGACTCAACAACAGCTCTAAGTATAATCCGATTCGACCCAGCACCCAGCAACTCCCGCGGGTCATCAACAAGCTCATTCACCCCAAACACATGCCCGGGCGCAAGATGCACGACATCAAACGCCGGTTTCTCCCATCTCACCCAGTCCTCGACCCTCTTCAGCGCGCCAACCTTGGCAGCGATATAAGCCTCCGATGGCGAAGAGTACGGCGGGGCCTGGACATTGACTGCGCGCGTGGTGGCCGCGTGCACCTTGTCCACTGTATCTTCTGCGTGGTCAATTAGGGCGGCGAGCGAGGATGTCAGGATGATGCGTTTGATGCTGCATTGGGCGCGTGCAGAGGAGAGGAGGTTCAGACAGGTGTTGATTGTGGGGTGGATGTAGTGCGCTTCTAGGTTCTGGCCGATGGATGCGGGGTCTGCGGAGGCGATCGGGGCGGCGGCGTGGATGATGTGTGTTACGTCTTGTAGGGCGGGATTTGGGTAGAAGGCGGAGGGCAGGGTTAGATCGGGGATTTCGGTGAAGGTTAGGTGGGTGGTTGTGAGGGTGGGATTGGTTGTGGAGAGGGATTTTATGGAGGGCGTGTTGAGGATGCGGTGTTTGGCGCTGAGGGTGCGCAGGGCGACGCGGACTCGGTGGCCATGTTGCAGGCAGAGGACTAGTATGCGGAAGCCGATTAGGCCTGTTGCGCCGGTAAGGAAGATGAGGGCGGGCGGCATGGTTTGGTTCATGTTGGTGGGTGTTGACGTTGTGATACCTATTATTGTCGAACCATTCAATTTGTAATTTGCTTACTTTTCTCTTTGTTTTATAGCTGACTATCATCTAGTAAGCAGCTACAGTGTTAGGTATAAGCGCCAGCGGAAGAGTTGTGTTATACGGACGTATTCGTACTTGTACTTGTGCTTGTACTCGCCTAGTTCTTTTACCCCTGCTGCTTCTCTTGGCAACTTCGACTTGTGCTGAACCAGTCTACAAAGGTGAATCGACTCCCCTACCGGATCCGGGGCCCGGGTCCGTCTTAGCCCGATGCTCAAGCAGCAGCTTAACAATCTCCGACCGGCCGTGCATAACAGCCCGGTGCAAAGCCGTGAAACCCTCGCTGTCCTCCTCATCAATCAGGAACCTTTCATCCTGCAGCAGCACCTTGACCGTATCCAGATGATTCCCCGCAACCGCCATGTGCAGCAACGGAGTCCGTTTCAGACTCTGACTCTGACTCTCAGCGGTCCAGTCCCTCATCTCCAGTGCAAAATGCTGGTCTGCCGTGGGAGAAAGATCAGCTGCGCTCAGTGGCAGTACGGGTACCCCTCCTGCATCGGACTTGGCTATCCCGTTCCCGTCTCCATCCATCTCCATCTCTGCTCCTATGGGGAGGTGGAGACTTGACGCTGGTGTTAGAGGCTCTGCACCTGTTCCTTTTCTCTGTCTATTTGTCCTGGTTCGCGACCTGTTTTCTATCTGCTGCGGCTGCCATGTAAACGCAGGTACAGATGTTCTTAGATTGGTCGCCGAGATTGGTTGCTGTAGATGCCCCGCTGAAGCTACACATTCTTGCTGGTTCATGTAGTTGAATCGCGTGCTTCTTGGAACTGAGAGTGGTACCGGCATACACTGTTCCCTGCTTTCACTTGGTGCTTGTGGTTGTGGTTCTGCTTCTGATGGCGTACTCGTAGCTTCCCATTCGGATGGAGGGGAGCAGCCTCCAATGCTCCTCCCTCGGTTTTCGTGCGGCAGTGGCACCTGCAGTGTTGAGAGACTGCTGCTGCTGCTCTGATGCCGTTGCTGCTGATATACGGATGTGCTCTCTTCGTTCCGTGCGATGTGAAGCCCTAGGTTTAGCTCCTCGTACGCTCTGAGCTGTTTCGTGAGTTGTTCGATCTTGTTTGATCGGTCGCGCATGTTCCGTCCTATATGTCATTATACTTAGCATCGGCATATTTTACAAAGAAGAATTGAGGTAGGCAAGGTCAGGCGTGGGGTTATGATGGTAGGTATGTTATATGTGATGGTCAAGCTCCCATGCAATATGAATCTCTCCATTGGATCGCGGATACAAGTAACAAGGGTAGGTAGACATACGATATGCACGCTGCGCGATGCGGTTTTGGATCTTCCTTCGCTCCGAGGCGTCTGCGAGTTGCCTCTCGTATCGTGTCAGTACTGGTATGTCTAAAGTCAGCGGTTCATCGGACGATTTTACCCAATCTTCGTCGGGCCGCATCAGGTCTGTGTGCTGCATGGTCCACCCTGCTCTCGGATCGGCTGTCTTTTCAAGTGTATTGTACAGTGGTTTTGAACACTGCAACGCCTGCCAAACTTGGTGGTTGAGACCTTAAACCTTCGGTAAGGGAGAGACCAAGGTTACTAACGAATCTGTCATGAGCAACGGGTAGTGGGCGACACAGTATGTTTAAATACGGTGGTGACCTTGCATGCTAAAAACAATGTCCAGTTGTCGTAAGGGCTAGAGGAGACAGTCCGAGTTGACAAGTTCTTGGCCAGGACGGTTATTAGCTGGCTTTTTCTTTTCGATTCCAGTATTGGAAGGTCCATATCTTGACTGCTACCCTGCAACATGACATTTCCAAGGACAACTCCGAGCAGCATCCCTGTAGAATAACAGCCGAGAACGTCTCATAGACGACGACTTCAATCAGGCAGTATTTTCGCATCACGATTCAGGGACCCTAGGCAAGTCAGCCGGGCCGGCGCGCGAGTGATACGACGACGACTCCAGAGTGTTGTGCTTGATTGGTACAATATTGACACGGTATACTTACTCTGGTTGACCCCGGTGTTATAGACCCCTGCTAGTTAACCCACTAGTATGGCGAACTTGCTAGGCAGAACATGCTGATAAGGACAGTGCTCACGCAAATGAGAATTATCATCTACACGAACCATGAATCATGAAAAACACGCCTGGGACGGCTATATAACATATTCCATGATTAGCCACTATCCAAACTCCTATCAAAAGTATATATATCTAAGATATGTCGGGAATACCAGGCTATGATTAGATCGCCCGTTGGGGATCGACCTACCTTCGGACCAACTCGGACCGTGTCTGGACTTCCAATTGGGCCTCGACAGACCGGTATGCAGGCACAGCAGAGACTGTGCTGAAGGCTGCGGCCTCACTTCGGCTAAACTTACCCGGGCATTCACCAGACTTCACTTCTGTCCGTGTTCGATGTAACCTTGTTATCTACAGAGCATGTGCTAGCAGGCTTGGCGGTTTCCTCACAAAACCTTACTATTTGATTTATTATATTTTGTAGTGTTCCTTTCTGTTCGGAAGAATGCCTCCTATCAGTGAGTGCGCAGAAGCACAGAAGGAGCAGTTACGTGCCGCCCTCACAAAAGCGGCGGCACCCGTATAAGGCAAGCGGACGGGACTCGCAGCAAAACATTCCAGTAATGGGACTAATACTATACATAATCAACTATAACTCGTTAAGTTGACTAGTAAACGTATGCCCAAACAACCACATCATGATATTGCACTGCAAGCACACTCCCGGAAACAATCCACCACAACAATAAGCAATCCATCCCCCCAGGTAACCAACAATAATGGCAAATCCCACCCTCCCACCAAACTACACCCTCCACCTCGCCAGCTACCCCCCCGTCAAAGACTACCTCCACCTCCGCGCCGCCTCGGGCCTCACGCCCAAAAACGCCGCGCAGGCCACCGCCGCGATACAGGGTAGTTGGTACGGGTGCTACGTTACCTACGATGGGCCGAATTCATCCGACGACACTGTCCCAGCCGATACACCCTACCAAAACCAACCCGAAAGTAATAGAAAGGAAGTGAAGGGGGAGGGGGAGGTGGTAGGCATGGGCCGTATCATCGGGGACGGGGGATGGTACTTCCATATCGCGGACATGGCGGTGCTCCCGGCGCACCAACGGAAGGGACTCGGGGGCGTGGTTCTGGCGGCCCTGCTGCAGAGGATCAGGGAGGCGGCGCCGGAGGGGGAGCCGTATGTGAATCTGTTGGCGGATGCGCCGGGACGGAGGCTGTATGCTAAGTATGGGTTTGTGGAGAGTGCGCCCAAGGAGTTGGGGATGGGGATGGTTATACGGGGGAGGTAGTTTTGTTTTCCTGTGGGGTTTTGGGGTTGGGG